AAAAAAAAAAAAAAAAAAAAAACTTGGACAAAAGAATCCGTCCAAAGAAGAAGAAGCAACATGAAAGAAGTCAAAAAAGAAAAACAAGTTCAAGCAAAACGCGGAGTCACAGAAATCGCTCTCTGAGACAAGAAGGCAAGAAAAGCACCAACGAAGAGAACAGAAAGCCCGCACCTCAATGATCAGTTTAACGCGAGAAATCGAACTGGATCCGTTCTTGCCAAGAGGGCTTCAAACCTTTGTGAGAGCTTTGTGAAGTGCCGCAACTCCCGAATGGGTCACTAGCCCTCTCTGCTCCGTGAAGCTCAACAAACCTAGAAAACAAGAGGTTTGAGAGTCTTCTTCTTCAGAAGTCTTAGAGCTTGAAGGGACTTACCGAGGCCACACGAAAGAGAGAGAACTTAGATACTTTGCGAAGAGAGCTAAAGTGCTAAATTTGATCAAGATGGATTTTGGAACAAGAATACACAGGAGTCAATTGCTTTGCTTCGAAGAACGGATTCAGACTCTGTCGCCTGTCGCTTTTGCAGACCCACTGCGACGCAAGTTGTCCGCAAGCGTGAGTTGCTGGAATGTGCTCGTGGTAACTCGTCTGCCGGACTGCAGCTTGTGAGCTGCCGGTATGCAGCTCGTAAGCTGCCGGCATGTCGCTTGTAGTGGTGGGTCGTAACTCGTGTAGCTCGTGAGTTGCCAGTACGTAGCTCGTGGTAGCTTGTGAGCTGCCGGTTTGCAGCTCGTGAGCTGCCGGTAGGTGGCTCGTGTGCTGGTCTGTTGCTCGTCAGCTGCTCGCAAGCTACTCGTCGGCTGCTCACAGTTGTGCGCCCCTTAAAGCTTCTCAAAATCCCGTTTTGCAAACTCTAGAGCCTCTAAGGGGCTGTAGGCCCGCGAATCGACAGTGCTTCAAAGTACCGAATTCTGCCCTATGTCTCGAACTTAAGCTCCCTAGAGAGAGCTGCGCATCAACGGCTGCTGGGCATCTCCAAGTCACAACTGATTGGATGATCTGCTGGATCCGCAAGGTCAAGTATGGTTTTGTGAACGTGGCATCATATATAGTGCGGTTCAGAAGCAGTATCAGACACAGCAAGCACATCACACACAGCAAAATGCCACAAATGCCAATGACCTGCTGCAAGTGCTGCAAATTCTGCTGGTCTTCTCCACAGGAACTGCGTGAGGCCAAGCCAACTTCAGAGCTATGAATGCTGCGGTTACAGACTCTTGGTCGCGATGACACCAGTTGCTGGGTCGGTCATGATCTGGCCATAGATGTTAGCTCAACATGAGCATGACGATCCCATATGTACATATGCACGGAAACTCCTTTAAAGGAGGAGGGAGAGAAAAGGCAGCACCGAGGGGAAAACATGCGCTTGGATTTGCAGCCTCAAGCCCGACAGAGAGAATTCGGATCATTGGCTTCTCAACTGTGTGGTTCTGCCACATGCCTTAGTTTCCTGGCAAGCAAAAAGCCTTCCTGCATTCAGGCTCGGGCCTCACTCATGACCGTCATGGCAGTCTAACTCAAAAGACGGAAGACGGCAGAATGATCCCACAGCTCATCATGAGCTATAGCTACTAAAGTCACTAGGTTTGTGCACATAAAGTCCGTATCAGTAGTTAAGTAATGTCAATATCAGCAGCAAACAACAGACTAAGAGTAGCAGTCAATTTCTGGCTGGTGCCGTTGGTGCCATGTGATGACGGCTCGCGTGGAGGTCGGTGTTGCTCCGATGGCCAGTCCTTGAAGTTTCTCGCTCCCGGTAGAGATGTCATGCAGGGAGAGCAAAGAACTTTGCTCCCGTCCAGGTCGGCGTACCACGCTGGCAGCAGCTGTGAGGAACTCGTCATGGGAAAGCCTTTGGAGTCTTAGATTCCGTGGACGCTCCAGCTGGTTGTCGCCATTAAGAGGGTGCGCCCGCGAAGCGGGGAATGATAAGAACAGTATCTCGTTTTTCCGTTCTGCATCACGGAGATGCGGGGTCGTCCGAGGCAGCAATGGACGCCTCTGCCGGGTGAGTCCTGGTTCGTCTGGCATGATTCGTGTTTTGCAAGCTCTGTCCTCTGGGACTCGATCTTATCTGTTGGGACTTGAGCCTACCCGATGCTCCGTAAAGATCAAAGAACCTGTGAGAATCTCTGTGGTTTGGCAGTTCTTACAAGCTGTAAGCCACAACCTTCGATTCTTCGGGAAGTTTTCTGCGCTTGCAACGAGCGAAAGCCTGTTGGATGAAATTTGCGCAGCGGCTCCTTGCAGTGGCTTCCAGGCTGGCGCGGCCCTTGAAGTCGCTGGGCCTCGCCGACGTCTTCCACGGTGCCCAAACCTTGTGCCACGGAGAGATTCAAAAAACGGCTGACCTTGGCAGGTGGAGGTGGAGCCGTGGCCTCAGCCCTGGTCTTCCAGCTACATGGCTCGGTCCACGTGCGAGACCTTGGCAGGAGGGCCGAGCAAAGCGGGTGAGGCCTGCTCTACTGGTTCGCGTCAAGCGCTCTCGCTAAGCGACAGTCAGATCTAAAGCCTAGCAGCTTGGCATAGCAACCCAGGAAATCGAGGGAGAATCTAGGGGCAACTCCCGGGGATCTGACCAAATACGAGCCACGGTGTCTATGAATCTGTTGCTGGTGCATGTTTGCATGAAGCGAGGGATATCGCGAGAATCCCGTTGGCAACTTGCGCGTTCGCAGCATCGCACCCCTGCAAGGGAGTGGCCGATTGTTGCGGCAAAGCGCCAACGGTCCGGCTCGTGGCACTCGAAGCCGCCATGCCATGCATGCTTTTCCTCTGATGTGGTTGAGGGCTGCGCCAGATTGGGATTCTAGCCCGTGATTTCGCTCTCTGGGAATCGCTCGGAAACCTCCGTGTGCTGTCTCAGCATCAGGTGGGTATTGTGTGACACGTGTCCTGACCGCAGCGCAGCCTGTCACAGACCATGCCCGATGCTCAGCACATATGCTCCTCTGAGTGGCAGGTTGCTTACGCCACCGAAACCCGACACGATCGGCCGACCCTCGACTGCACTGCGCTTGCCATAGTGACGAGAGTCTTCACGGGGTTCCGAGTCGGGGTTTTTGGATGCGTTTGGAGCCGTGGTTTAACTTCGTGAGATGAGCCAACTTCAGGGTTTGATCGGGCAACATTCTGCAAGTGGTCCTCACAGCATTCCGCTCGGATACCCCAGGATCCATGTTTGCAGAGCCAAAGTCCGGCGGGCGGCTTACATGCAACCTCGCACCTCGCTGCCGCTGCCTGAAGTCTCGTTGTCTTCCCACGCCCAGGCCACAGCAAGGAGCCGTTTCGAGAAAACATCCAACAGGGCTCAAGGCCTGCTTCCGAGCGCGGGAAGGCGAGCAGCGCAAAGGATTCCGAGGAAAGCGAGGAAAGCGAAGCCTCGGAAGCGGAATCAAAGGCTTCGAAGGCTCCGAACTCGAAGGCCTCGAAGGCTTCAAAGAAGGGCAAGGACGACGAGGACGCGGCAGGCGGTACCATCGAGGTCAAGGATCCGGAGACCTTGTGGAAGGTGAACATCGAAGCAGTCTACCGGCGCAAGAATCCGCAAGCCCGGCCGTATATTGCAGCATGTTGCAGCGTGTGCTAAAGCACTTGCCCGCAGTGCGTCCGTGCCAGGAAACTCTTGTCGAAGGTGCCGGACTTCATTGCCAAATACAAGGACACCATTGACCAGTTACATTTACATCAGCGGCACGATGAGTAGTCGAGCTTTTTTGCTACGAGTCAGGCAAATGGAACCCCACTCGCACATCTGTATGCAAAGGCCAGGGGATTTCCGACCATAGACCATCCAACAATGTTGGCAGCATGCTCAACTTTTGTTGCCTTGTGGGCCAGCTGTTTCGAGGTGTGTCGCACCTATGAGTTGGACCCCAAGGCAAGTGCACGTCATGTCTCGTGAATGCTGGCACCTCAAATACTTGAGGGTAGGAATCGCAGCATTTAGCATTAGGGCCGTTAGGGTGTATCATGTCTCCTGAACTGGAGCTCATCGAAGCTGAATGTGCTGCAGGAATGTCTTCACGTCCTGAAACCATGACAGCCACATGAGCCACGGCCTCATGCGTGCAGGTGATGTGGGCCACTCGTGGAGAGGAGGATGACAATGCGGACGAGGAAGCACACCACATGAGAGATCCGGCTTATTCAATCGCTCGACACATTCATGTCAATGTAACGAACTACCAGAACTATGTATATCTGTATATCTTATTCTGATTCTTACTATTCTTCTTCTTATCATCGATCTGGGACGTGCTCAGTTGCTTGCCTGAATGAAGGTAGAGGTAAAGTTGTGTGTTGCTGTGCCAACTGCCTTTCAGACCGTAAGGAAGTGAGCCCTGGCAGCAGCCGTATCTCAAGCAGCATGGCTTGTTCTGGATCCCGCAGGATGGAGCATGCTTCAAAGACAACGCTTTCGACGACGATGAGGTCCCGCATGCATTCCTGTGAAGATTGTTCACAGATGAGGACACCATTGTTCGGGTTGGATAGCAGTTGGCTTCTGCAGGCCAAGGAGACATCCAAGCGCGAAGGCAAGCATGACACTGCTAGTACGAGAGTCGGTTGGCAGATCTGATCTGTCTCTGACGACATCGTTTCATCGCTTGTGCAAAATGCCGCTCCCCCCGGAGGTGCTGCTTCCACAGGAGGGATCTTTGGTGCTACAGGCGGTGCTTCGTCTGGAGGGCTTTTTGCAGGCAGGATGTAATTTCCAATCGTAGCCTTCTATCTCCGAGCGCTGTCAATCCGTGCCAGGAACCAGCCTCTTCGATAGTGCACCCAGCTCCAGCTCCACAGGAACGGACCTTTCAGGCCGAGTATTGCCCGATGAGCTGGCCACACTGTGTGTCAGAAAGTCTTTTTGCTTGGAGTTCGAAGACTGTGTCACACACTGACCGAAGGTCTTTTCAGCGCTGGGAAACCTGCTTCCGAGGGGCTTGCGAAGCCTGCAGCCAGTATCTTCGATTCTGCCCCCAGCAGCTCCGGAAGCATTTTCGGAGGCATTGGTGGCTCCACTACAGAGGTGGCGCTGCCGAGCTCAGGTGGGATCTTCATGTTCGGTGCTACCACGAGCAGCGCTGCTTCAACGGCACCACCGACCAGCATCTTCGGCGGCGGTGCCAGTTCTTCTGGCGCAGCCTCAGCATCATCGGCACCCTCGGCACCCGCGGCGGCGGCGACTTCGGCCACCAGCATGTTTCAGTTCGGGGCAGCGCCCACCGCAGCGGAGGTGCCGCCAGCAAGTTCGAGCGCTGGCGTCGCTTCCGGTGGAGGCCAGGCGTAGTGACCGCGTAGTTGCAAAGTATTTGCAAAGTCGTTGTGTGGTCTTCAGTAGCTTGGGGTCACTGTCAGACGACACGCATTGCAGTTTCAGGTGCGAGTATATTCGGAGCCGAAGCAACATCAGGAAATGCTCTTGCCAGCATCTCGCAAAGCTCGCAGAGTGCGCCGAGTTCAAGCTCCAATATCTTTGGTGCCGCACCAGGCTCAATTGGAAGTATCTTTAGTGCTGCGAGTTCTGGTGGCAGCATCTTTGGCTCTGAACCTGGAAGTTCAAGTGGTATATTCGGTGCCACCCAGCCAGCAAGCAGTCCCAGTACAGGAAGCATCTTCGGAGCTCCAGCCGATACTTCAAGCAGCAACATTTTCGGTGCAGCGCCGCCAAGTGCTTCAACGCAGCCAGCGGGCCAAAACTCCGGCAGCATCTTCGGTGCACTTCAGGCAACTACCACCCCGAGTTCTGGCAGCATCTTCGGCTCACAACCGGCAAGCAGTCCAGATTCCGGAAGCCTGTTCGGTGCAACCCCGACCCCGCCGACAGGCAGCCCAAGTTCAGGCAGTATCTTCGGTGCAGTCCAGACAGCAAGTTCAGGCGGCATTTTCGGTGCAGCCCAGCCCGGCGCGAGCACGAGTTCTGGCAGCATCTTCGGTGGTGCTTCAGGAAGTGGCCCCGGCATCTTCTCAGCACAGACCGGCAGCGCATCCACTGGTCCTGGCCTGTTTGGTGCACCGGCAGCCAGTGCGGGAGGTATTTTTGGAGCTCCGAGCGCAGGAGCCAATATCTTCGGCCAGCCAGCCCAACCGGCCCAGCCCGCGCAGCCGGCCCAGCCGGCAGTTTCAGCAGGAGGCCTCTTTGGCGCCAGTGCCGGCTCTCAGGGAGCCAGCATGTTCGGTGGGACAACTGGTGGGATCTTCAGCCCAGCCCAGAGTGCCGCCAGCTCTGCGGGGGCCGGGAACCTCTTTGGCCAAGCTGGTGGCAACATCTTCGGGAGTGGTGGCGGTGCCGCGGCCTTCGGTGCATCTGGAGGACATTCAGCTAGAGTGTAGCTGGAGGCTAGAGCTAGAGACGCCAGAGCCTATAGCAGCTAAAAACTATATAGAGCTTAAAGGGCCGGCCAGGAGTTCCGAGTATGCGCCTAAATGCAGAGAGCAGACAAGCAAAGCAGCATGGCTTGCGAAGTTGGGCAGGAGTTGGCGGAGGTGTTTTCGGCCAATCCTCCGGTGCAGGCTGGTCTGTGCTTGCGGGGGTTGTGAACTAGCACGGGAGCCACCCAGCTGTAGAGTCGAAAAAAGACATAAACATTGTGACCAGTTGCCATCTGGATAACTTACTGGTGTTGGCAACAGCTTTCGCCTCCCTTCGACTGTCATCGTATCTCGCAGCGCACAGGAGGTGGCAACATCTTCGGAGCACCGGCTCCAGGACCGCGCTCCGCTGTGCAGCTCTGTGCGGACTCTGCGACTCTGCAGTGTTTTTGTGAAGAGGTGCCGCCTCCACGGGCGGCATGTTCCAGTTCGGGGCGCCGACACCGGCACCGCAGAGCGCACCCTGCGGTGGAGGCATTTGTGTTCACTGCTTCGGAGCTGGGAACCGCGTGGAAGCCCCAGGCGGGTCCATTTTCGGTCAGCCGCAGCCGCAGCCGAGCCCTGGTGGCCTGCGCCCCAACGACATCCATCGGGAATCCTTTCACACCGCCTCAAGTTGCAGAAAACTACAAAGCCTGCCGGAAGACGATTGCATCCTTCATAAAAGCCCCGAAGCTCAAGACTTGAGAGCGATCGCGACCTGTTTGCTAGGTGGTAACGCGTTCATGTTCGGCCAGGGCCCGGCACAGTCGCAAGGCACGGGGAACCTATCTTAGCCAGGATCGCTGTGCAGAGCGTTCCCATCTGGAGGATCTGCGGACATGTTTGGACAGCCAGCTGCAGGCCTTTTCCGTTCGTCAATGGGTCGTGCTGTTTGTAAATAAGCGAGGAGCGCACGCTCAACAGGTCCAAATGCTGGTTTTGGTGGCTCACCTTTTGGTGGTGGTGGCCCCGGGGCCACGCTAGTGGAAAGTTGCACTTGCTGAGTTCATTGGAGATGGTTTCTCACCTGCCAGCTTCGGAAAAGTTACAGATCTGTTCTGGTTTTCAGCTTCTGAGGTGTCGAAGTGGCAACTGGACCTCACCCCGAGACGGCACCCCTCGTACCGAACCTGATGTTGAGTGCAGCGCAGTGGCATGCCCAGGTGCTCCGCAAGGCTTTCCGCCACCCGGTGCAGGCTGGGACTGAGCCTAGGGCCTAGGAGGTGTTGGAGCTGGATGCCCAAATACCCACATACCTTCAGAGTAACCCTGTGCAGGGTTTGGCCAACCTGCGGCCAGAGCCTCGGGACTCTAGCCATTGGCTATTCAGGAGGTCTTTCAATTCTGAGAGGCACATCCTGCCTTCTGTTTGCAAAAGGGTGGCAAGATGTCGGAGTCGTGGTGCAGTGTAGAAACGGTCTTGCTTGCGAGATGATGCCACCAAGCACTAGGCAAGCAGTTTTCAGATTTCGGCATGTTCGCCAGTAGTGTCTCAGGTCAAAAGTTTTGACATCCCAGGATTTGTTCGCAAACGACTCCACCCGAAGGAGCAAAGCAAACCAAGGCGGCAGCAGGTGCCTTCGGCGGTTTCGGACCAGCTCCAGGCTTCGGGGCTCCAAACGAAATGCTGCCTGCGAAGAGCTCTGGAACTTGCTGTCTTAGGTGTTCAGGGCGATTTCAAGTCTTTCAGAGAAGAGGGTCACCATGGCGGAGCCTTCCTGCTGAGTCCGCGCCTCTCAGTTCGGTCTTTGCGGGTGGAGACCGTCCGACCTCGCTACGCACATCCGCTGCTTGAGCCGGGAATCGGAGATCCTTGCGGTTGCAACTGCCACGGCGTCACCGGCGCAGGTGCAGGTGGCTTCGGCGCTGCTCCACAGGCTCCGGATATCTTCAGTTGGTTAGGTCCGGGAGGGATGTCTTGATGCTGCCAGTTAGCAGTCTTCGTGCGCGCTTTAAAGGGCCTTGCAGCGGAATTCCAGAGCAGCCTTCCGACAGGCTGCCGGCGGAAACCTTTTCGCAGCGAGCCCAAAAACTCGGCCCAGTGTGCAGTCGTACACTGTAGTAGAGCGCTTTCGCCACGGCTGCCGTCATCCTTTTGAGGCGCAGCCCAACCCCAGCGGTCCACCGCCGGGGCGCAGGCGCTTGTCGTACTCGGTGTTTCTTGAAGTGATCCCAATCGCCGCCTGCACACCCGCCTGTTGAGAGCCGTCCCACAGGAGGAGAGGGGTGAAAGTCAAACAAAGCCGGCCCATTTCGTGAGCGCAGTCAGCAAGCTGCTGTGATGTTTTAGTTCTACCAAGTTTGCCTTGAGCAAGAAGTTTCATGAAATAGTGCTACAGCTGCAGCTGCCGCCATGGCAGAGACTCCGCCGCCGCCGGAGCCTGCGCCGGATTGGAAACGGGCACGCAAATCGTTGAAAGACCCACTTGCGACCTGTCGCGGCAAGAGTCAAGTGCTCATACTCGATGGCCCTTTGGATGGCAACGTCTCGAAAGTCCTCTGTTTTGCGGGTAGCTGGTTTAAGGTACGACAGGTTTACAGATGGGAAGCCATGCTGCATTGGGTTGTTTTGTGGGACACAGGCGGGTGCCTGCAAAAGTCACGATGCCGGAAGGCATGTCAAGGCAGTGAAGGTTCGAAGCCTCCTCGATTCCCAGGTGGTCTTGCCACGCACGTCGAGGCGTCGCGGAGCCTGCACTTGGCTTCATAAACCCTAAACCCTAAACCCTAAACCCCTAAATCCTAAACCCTACACGGCCGAGACAGGTTTGCAGTCGCTGCTGTGCCGAGGCTTGGCGAAAGTATCGACCACTCCCTCTGGTCTGCCTCCTGCCTGGTGAGGAACCCGACGGCCAGATCCTCGGAGAGTAGCCCCTTCCCAACAAGCCAAGATACAGAACCTCTCGCTCTCTCTCTCTCTCTCTCTCTCGCAGTATGTCGATTTGTCCGTTGAGCTTCCACGCCGTACTGTCACATGGGGAAGAAACAGAATGAATCCGGCGTTTCGCCCTTTTTCGTTTTGCTTGCTTGTGCTGAAGCCTTTGTTCTTCGCTCTCTAGTTTGTTTTGTGTTCGTGTTTGTAGGAGCACCGATGAAAATGACCTCTGTGAGCAATACCGCCAAGAGCGTCAATGACGCAGAGGCTACCTCTGTGGCGAACGGCCCTGCTCGCGCCAGGTCATCAAACAGGCGCACAGAGACTACTATGATGCTGGCACGGGCCTCGCTCAGAAGTGAAACTTGAAAACTGAGACACAGCGGACAGGTTTGCAGGAGCCTGAAGGCCCAAACCTTGATTGCGTTAACATCTGTGATCCAGCAAGGGACGGGCATTGGCTTGGGGAGTCCAATGGTTCCGTTCCGTGCCTGTAAGCCGTTGCCTTTGCGGTAGGGCCGAGTTCTGTCCGGGTACAGAAATTGCTGCAGAAGGCGCCGCGGTGGCCATCACTGCTTCCTACCAGGCTGGGCCCACGAGTGCATTGCACAACTCTTTTTGGTAAGAAAAGAGTGCAGGCACACTTCGATGGTTTTCGCGAGCTCGGGATGGACGAGGAGGAGGCCTGTTGGGCTTCAATGGGCAGGCTACAGCTGCGGTGCTGCCCGGGTTCCTTCTTTGCGGACATGCCGTCCGTGCTGGCACCAGTGTTTCCTTGCAGCAGGCGCTCAAGGCAGTGAAACGCTCGGTCGACTTAGCGCGAGACTGGGCCGCCCAGTCAGTTAGATTGGCAATTGGGGTCGTCTCGTGGCTTAGTTGATGCACGAGTTTCATCTCCCAAAAGGCTCGTCTTGCAAGCACACCACATCAGGCCATGTCCCAAGAAACCCCAAACCCGAAAACTTGGACTGTGTTCCGCCGGGAAGGCATCTGGGGCAGGGTCAGCACTAAGCTAGAGAGCTGGATGCCAGATGATGCCAGAGCGAGGCGAGACGGCGCCTCCTGGGGCACTGGTAGCAGGCAGCGTGGGCAGCTATGGCGCCTCGCAGAGGCCTCAGAAAAGCCGAAAGCCCAGGACTTTTGCCGGGTTTCAATTTCCCGGCCGCAGGACCCAAGGCGATCCTTCAAGGCTTCAAGGCATTTTGCGCAAAGTTGCACCTCAGGCTGCACAACGGCGCGGAGTACACCGGCGACTTTCCAGGCTCTTCACAAGTTCTTCTTGCTCCTGCCTCTTCTGCTGCGGTGATCACACATGGCCAAGTGCAGGTTCGCGAGTATGGTAGCGCCGGTACTAACTAGGAAGGGACCCTACGCTCACCGTGTCTCAACTGAAAACAGGGATGGATGAAACGAGTCTGCTTGCCTGGCACCGGCCCCGAGCCAAGGCGGTTGGGAACAGGGAATCAAGAGGAGTAAGTAGGGGAACTCTTGTCGACTTGTCGCAAGGGGGCGCAGGTCCAGGAAGCGCTAAGTGTGGAGCATGGACAGCAAATAGCATTGTGAATGCGACCCGAAGTTGGAAATCTGTACAATGATAGGGCATGAGAAGTGTAATTCAGAACAAGGAGACTCTCGAATTGAGGCTTTGGTCGAAGCAGGTGCTGACATCCTCGCATGCGAGACGGTGTGCCTTTGTTGAAGATGGCTTCGAGATGGTAAAGAGCAAGCAATTTTCATGCTTTGAGTGGGGTCCGGTTGCGCTAAGTAAATCCTTTTTGGCTGCTCTAAGATCCACCATGGTCTTGCTGGACCTGCCGCTCATGTAGCCTGCTCATGAAAGTAGTCAGCTAGTCAGCTTTTGAAGACTCTGCAGTTGCCGTCGCGGATGTGAGTTGCACGGGGTTCATGGCGAAGGGAAGACTGTACCAGGTAGCATTTCGGGTCGTGCCTCGGCTGAGTGCTGCATGCTGCCGCAGCTTTGGCTGCCGGTGAAACCAAGCTTTACCAGATGGGATCAGATCGGAAGAGGCAGAGCGCCGTCTTCGGGTCTGGTGCAGTCTGTTTAAAAGGAATGGAATGGATGTTTCAAAACCAGGCTCTCCACAGCCTCTGAAGGCCTCGCAAGCCCGAACAACGAACCTTAGTCCGGACCTCCCACCATCCCCCACTCCCTGTTCATCCACTACAAGCCTGACATGGCCCGAAAGGCTGCCCACCATCCTAACACAGATAGGTAGTGACGAGAGTTAACTATTCAGGGCATCCACGTAGGTTGCAATTGTAATCCGGATGGGGGCGCGTGCCAAAACCGAGGCCGAGCCTTTTGGAAGCCCGAGCTCTCGTTCGCCTGCTGAACGTGACTTGGAGGCATTCTTCGTCTCCCTTGTCAATTCGAGGGTAGCTTTTCCCGGAGGCGTGGCAGCACTCGTGCATGTCGCATGTCTGAGAGTCTTGCTTCAACCCTCCTTCATCCTAACTGCCATTGCCTTTCTAAATCTCTGCACGAACCGCTGACGGCTCCGTGAGGAGTTGGAGCATCCTGGTTGGGTCACCTTCTCCTGCAAATCGGACACTGAAGTCTGCTCGGGCGATGTCTTCGCAGACTGCATCGCTGCGGTGGCCAACTGCGACTGGGTCGTTGGAGCCTTTGAGAATGGATGTCCCAGGGTTCCGATATGTTGCAGAAGCCGGCCGGTCGGTTTCGTGCTGTAGCAAATGGCTCTGGTAATGACCGGGAAGCGCCCTCCGAACCCAGGAGCAGGCGTGAACTGCACGCATCCCGACTTCGTCGCTGGCCTCGTCCAAATCTGCCGGGAGTCGTTGCCCGCCGAAAAGAGCTACTTCCCCGGCAACTAACAGGGCAAAGGGATGCGAAGCGGCGCCGAGATTTTTGGCTTTGGTGGCCTTCGGCAGAGGTGGAGTTTGGAGTGTTGTTTCAACGGATCAAGCTCGCATGGGGCGGGTCGACTCTAGGGAGATGCGTACATGTCTGACATCTTCTTGTACCTATAACCATGCCTACGCATATTTCGCGGACAGTAAGCCACCAAAGATGGGTTGCAGGATTCACGGCTGACTTGCCAACACTGTCTGCAGGATGTATTCTTCACTTTTTGTGTTCATGGTTTTCCTTGCCGCTGCTGCATGCTTTCCAGATGTTATGTGCAAGGCTTGCGGAGAAGCTTCGTTGTCAGAAGCGCTACACATTCTCATCAAGGATTTCTGCTTGAGTAGGATGACAGTTCGTGCTGGCCGTAATTGCACTAATACGTCCCCTTCTGGAAGCCAGAGGGGAAGACTGATCATGACAGGTGTGGTCGTGTACCCCAATGCCGGCGAGGTTTGGAGCTTTGACTTCAGTGTAGATGGGGAACCCTTGTGCCAACCCTGGAGCCAGTAGCGAAGCCTAGGATGCATCGCAAGGAGTTCCGTGACAGATGGCGTGGGGCTGTACAGTAGCAGCATCTGCGATGTCTCTATCTTTTTGAAAGATCGGCTTTCTGTCAGTGGGATGTTGAGATTATCTCTAGTCACTAGTCGCCCTCATCCCCAACTCCGAAGTATATGTCCAGACATCCGAGGAATGGTACAACTCATGCCTGGGAGACGGGCTCAGCCACAGCTGACGAACAGTCCCTTGACGGATTCGGGCCATCCTTGCATTGACTGAAAGCACCAAGTACCTGTCGACATGTGTCCGAAATCCAGTCGGTAGGTATGTGGAGCTGGCGCGCAAGTGGCTCAAGCTTGGCGCCAATTGCAGCTCGTCCGCCTCTACAGCTGGCATCTGGGTTAGCGGAAGCAAATGCCCGTCCTGGTCTCGTCGGACCGTCGCTTCCCGACGCCTTTCAGCCATCGGGTTGCTTTCTGTGTCCAGGTATCGGGGGCTGCTGCCGAACGGGGCCCGCGACTATCGCGGCGCTCAAGAAAGGGTTGACGGTGACCCCGTGAGTGCCGTGTCGGAAATGGGCGGAGGGGGGGGCACTTGGATGGGTATGCGAACACGTTCACTGATATGATAGGGCCTGATAGGGTTTCCAAGAGAGGCAGCTCTGACAAGGAATCCCTGTGAAGCACAGTTTTTGAAGGTCAGTGGAAGATGATGTCCTGCACCATTCCACTGAGCCCCGACCGAAACTCAGCACGCCAGCCGAGTGGATCGTGGAGTGCACGCGGGCCAAGCTTACAAAGTCTAGGCGGCTTGGGGAATGCGGCTCTGCGACATGTGCAACATGCCACCGTGATTTCTCTGCTGAGCTGTGGGAAAAAGTTGCGGCAGAGACCACCGGCTGTGCCAGCTGCCACCCAGCCTGTTCAACTCAGAGCTGCGAAGCTCTTTGCCGCATGGCAGCCAAAAGTCGCCCAGTGCCAGGATTGTGAGGGCCAAGCGCCGGGCTGGCTGAGAGCAACCTGCCTCTGCGAAAACATGGGTTGGGCTGCAAATCGCAGAGATGTTTGAGAATGTTCTGCTGGACCTGAGCCTCTATTTCCGGTTTTTCGGTTCAGTCAATCTCTCCAGTGAGTACATGCAGCTTAGATCACCGAACTAAAGTAACTAAAGCCTTTCTCGCAGCACGTTGAAAGACACAGCTCTCGCCCCATATTGCTTGCCGCCACCCCTGATATCTTGCCTGCTAGAAGATGGAGCTGCCATCTTACTAAGCAGCTGTGTCACGCCTCAACAGCCTCTCATGTGCTGGCAACCGCACCGCCCAAGAATCCGGGCAAATCCAAAGGGTTTTGACTGCATTCCTAAAGAGCCCAGTCCTTCAACGCGCCGACGTCTGGTTCAAACTAGCGTTGTTCAGTCCAGAGCCCCTGCGGAGTTTGGCACGGCAACCGGCGGGCACCTCGCCTTGGCATTCTGAGAGGGAAAGCGAAAGAGAGCGAAAGCCTCCCTCAAATTCTGCCGGCGAGAAGCAATAAGCAAGCCCTGGCGGTCCTCTGAGGCGACTCAGACGTGGCTGCGGGTCACAAGGTGCAGCACGGTGTGAGTCTACACCCACATTCAAGGAGTAAGGAGTGAATGCGTCCGATGCTGTCGCGGTTGCTGCAGTAGTGGCGGCGGTGTCGCTGCGATGAAAGTGTCAGTGCTTCTGCTGTGGTGAGTTCAAGTGAAAGGGTGCACAGGGCGCTTCCCACAAACTGCGCCCCTGCTGCTACCTGCTGCTTGACACATGGAGGTGTGTGCTTGTGCCGCTGTGGCAAGATGGGGAGTTGGAGTGCATGCCTGAGGAAGATGCTTTATACCTTTTACCTTCGGATGAGCACGGAAGATTTTATCGGCACCCAAGGCAACTCCTACGGCGGCGGCGGCGCATACGCTTCCGCTGCCTTGGCCTCGGTCGATGTTCCTGAAAAACATCTGTTCAGTAGTTAGCTTCTTTACGATCCTATACAGCTGTTTGCAGCTGCAAATCCAGGTAGGACAGCAAACATGGCTCTGCAGATCTGCTAAGTTTTCAATCGCTTGTCGAAGGCTCTGCCGTACGCGTGCGGGTCTCGGCCTGCCAGCTCTGTTGCCTTTGCCTTTGTGTGCTGCTCTTCGCAGCTCTGGGACCTAGAGAGCCGCGATCTTCAGGGTCTGGGCTCATGCCTGGTGCACAGTCAAACACGAGTGAGATGTGTAAAGAACGGCAGGTCCAGCAATGGCTACGGCCACAACGGACTGACCATACGAGAAGCCTGTGAGGCTGCAGGTGCTCTGCGAGCCGACACTTAAGGATTAGGGACATGCTTGTCAATGATCTGATTCAATATGCACAGGACGGCCACAGCATTGGACGTGCTTTTCTTGAAGATTTTGTGAACTCATCCCTGGCCCACAGGCCGGGGTGACGGCAGCGGTCACTGCGTGGACGACAGTGAGATCTCTGTCCGTGGTCCGGCGGGGGATCCTACTGTGCCACAGTGCTGCGATTCGAAAAGTGCACCTTTCAGACAAGACCCCCCAACCTTTGCACACCTGGTGATGCAGCCTTCCTCGCATGCTGCGCATGTTCATGTTCCTGCGCACCCGACCTAACCTTTGTTCTCGGGGAGGCATGGAATAAGTCACCGCTTTCTCAGGACGACCGGTCTGTGCCGCCCGTGAAAGTTCAGTCCTTCGAGGAGGTGCGAGAGCCGGGCAGCCCAGTCGCCGGGGGAGCGGAGATGAGCGGAGCGAGGGGGTCTGGATTTTCACCTCGCGTTACCTTGAATGTCTTCGAGGGGTTCAGCTTGAGTCCCAAGATGGTGATTCAGAGCTCGTCCAGCTAGCATACTCTTACACCGAACAGAGTTCTACGATGGACCAGCAGGTGCGTTTCCGAGTCGTAAGCTCCGAGATGTGCATCCTCCGCTCCTGAATTCCCGACAGGTTCCCTCGCGAGATCCAGGCGGAGTTCAGGCAAGCGCAGGACTTGTCATTTCATGGGCACAGGAGGGTCGAGATGCATCAGAATCCTTCTGCAAGAGATACACCGAGCAAATGGAAAACGTGCAGGCTAGTGTGTAGGGCCAATGCGACCCCCGACATACCGTGGCAGGCGAGCCGGCTTTCCCTCGCCTTCGCAAATCCAGGCCTCGGCTGGGAGAGCATCAGCTGCGTTACAAAAATAATACACGGCGGGCTGGTCAGGCCTACACCTGGCCACTGGCTTTGGAGGGCAAGGAGCGGCTGCGGGATCTTCCTTCAGCTAAGCTACAGAAGTTTTTCATGCTTGCAGAAATCTTGCAGGACGTTATTGGCATTGCAGCCACAGGCCGCTGGGGAGCTTTGAAACGCCAAAGTCAAAGTGTTCGGCATGGGAACAAAGACAAATCATGATAGATCAAAGGGCTGCTGCCCGCAGTCTCTGAGCACCCTTTTGACAGGTAGCGGCAAAACACTGGCATTCCTTTTGCCAGCGTTCTGCGAGATGAAGCTTGGATGCATCTGCACATTGATGCGCGCAACCAGTTCGGGAGGGAAAGTTTTCAGTTCAGTCTGTGCAGCCATCCAGCAGGGCTGCCACAACAGCTAGAAATAATTTAGAAGGTGCGCAGCGCCGCCAAACCCCACGTCCAGTTACGGTGATACAACTTTCGAAAGTGATGCATGGAGCGGATCTGGATTGTTTGACGAGTTGCTTCCAGCATGTTGCAGCCAGGGTCTGGGAAATAGGGTTTAGGGCTTAAGGCTTTGTGACTCGCCTTTTTTACATGTGAGTGCGGAGATCTGTGGGTGCGTACCATGGTGTCATGCAGCTTGCAAGCACCCAAGGATTAGAAGAGGACAGCTCTCTGGCAAATCATTCACATGCCCTTCGCCACCCAATCCTGTAAAACACAGCTCTTGCATCGGCATCCGACATTGGGCAGGACACAACCCGGACAGATATGGGCCGGGTTTGCTGGTCATGCCACTGCCTCAGTGCAAAACGAGCTGGGAGGTGTCGGAAGCCTCGGGGCCCAGCCGAGGTCGCCGACGCGTGAGCTGGCGCAGCAGACCGAGCAGGAGGTCGCCGAGGGCCCCGCAGTTTTCCGGAGGATCTTCGGATTTCAGCGCGGAGAATCGCATGGATCTTGTGCATGGGAGTTCGAGTTCCGATATCATCTCCCCCCACCCCGAAGGTCCAGTATTTAGTAGGGCGTAAAGATGTTCAGCACTTGGCAGTGGAACTCCACATGGAGCCGAAGCTGTGCACCACATGGCTAGGCCGATCGCTTTGGCAAGTGCATCAACTTTAACGTCGCTTGGAGCCCAGACGAGGAATTGGACAAGGAGTTGATTGTAGCGACTTCCATGGACAAGCTTAGTGGACCCTGAATGAATCCGAGGTAGCCATGTATGGTGGCTCGCCAAAGCAGGACCAGATCAGAAAGCTGCTGACTCAGGGCGACAGACCAAACCGTGGAAGGCATGTCCTTCGAGCTCTGCTGAAATATTACCATGTTTGGTCAATATGCTAGCACGCAGTGCCAAGCCCGTGCAAATTCCGAAACTCAGATACCGCTATGGAGTCCACACCATCGTCGCGTGCCGTCCTCAGAGCCAGTTTCGGCCACCAGCACAGTTTAGGACCAGTTTAGGAGTTTAGGATTAAGGATGTCAGTGATGTAGAGGGAGACTAGGAGAAAGGGATATCAGAGGCACCTGCCTAAAAGCCTACGATGATGCTGCTGATGCAGATGCGCACCTCGTTGATCACGAACCCACAAGCCAATGCATTCAGTTTTGAATCCATGTCATGTTTTTGCGACATCTCATTGCACATACATACAAGCCCAAGCCAAGCAGATGCCAAACTCCTTGCAAGATGCGAACGATCCGAGTTTGCCAACACAGCTCCATGACGATGACAGTAGTTGTCGGGCTTTCGACTCCTGAAGCAAAACACGGAACAAGGTGTCCAGGTCGGCTCAATGACTTCCTGGAGGGCGGCCAGGTTCGACTGGACGGCGCCGGGTGCTCCAGGAGCTTTGTGGCACGTGCGCTATCGCAGTGTGGGTCGTGCGCTTTTCGTGCCTCTCGACGTCTCGCGACATGGTGCACCGTTGTGGTTTAGATGGCGTTCGGCTTAGATTGATTTTGCACCCACCTACAATGCGCCGAGCGAGGTCATGTGTCTTGTTCTGGACGAAGCGGACCGAATGCTGGACATGGGCCGCAGCCCTGCGGGTTGAGTTGGAGAGGTGGTACCAAGTATGCATGCTTCGGCAGTAGGAATCTGTAATTCTCCTGGCGCTGCTGATCTTAACGAGATGTGCTTGTTCTGCAACGTTTCAGGATGGTAGCTGTCTCTGCTTGGAGTGATTCTTTTGTAGAACGTCACTGGCTCTACCTGTTTTTCGCCAAGGGACGGGCGTTCAGTCTTTCAACGGTTTCAACGACACAGAAACGCCGGTTTCTCTCTGAGTGGCGAGGAAGATTCGCTTTTCCTGCTGGTCTGAGGCTTCGAACCTCAGATTAGGAAGATCCTGGCGAGGACAGCAGTCAGCTTTTTTGGCGTGGCTGCTCGTGGTGCAAGTTGCAGATTTGGCGTTTTGCGGGCTTAGGGGACTCTTTGCAGGATTTGGGTCTCTGTGCCAGGGGAGGATTTCATTTGCACATGCCTGAAGAAGGTGGCCACCTGAATCGCTTGAATGTTCCCAACTCTGACGATGGAGAGGATTCCGCGGAATCGCCACACCATGTTCTTCACGGCAACCTGGCCAAGAGAGGCGCTGCGGGCGAAAACACGGAGACCTCGGCCTCTTCGCCACGTCTTGCCAGGTTAGAAACCTGGCTGCAGACATCCTGTACCACCCCTACAAGGCTGGCTCTCCAGCACCCTCCTGCTTGATCGGGAGGGAGACAGATGTGCAGCGTCACAGGTCATGATCGGGAATCGTGATGAATTGAAGGGCAATCAGGACCTCATTGTCTTTGAAAGCTGTGTTGAACAGGGCTGCCAGCACCTGAAATCAAGACTGCTCCTCTGCTCCAAGTCGGGTCCACGATGACAAGTAACACTTGTCTCAAGATTGCAGCCGGCAGTCGGCAGGCTTCTTGTATCTTCTCGAGGTGTGGGCTAGGGTAGCTAGGATTATCCTAGCCGCTGTTTTCACACAGTGTCCTTCCTGGCACTGCTGCCAGTTCTGAGTGAATGCCCTCGCCGATACTGCATCCCTTTGTAACCTTTGCATATCCACACTGTAGTATGCAGACGCCACAGTAGTGGTATTGGTAGTGGTAGTGGTAGTGGTAGTGGTAGTGGTGGTAGTATTGGTGGTAGTATTGGTGGTAGTAGTGGTGGTGGTAGTAGTAGTAGTAGTAGTTGTGGTAGTAGTAGTTGTGGTAGTAGTAGTAGTAGTAGTAGTCGTCGTCGAAGCTTTAGGTTTTTTTATTCTGGCAATTCTGGCAATCAAATCGCCGTGCGACCTCTGAAACAGACGTCAATTACGGTGACGTTGCTTCGGCCTGAATCAGCTCATCTTCTTAACTGCTTAGCTACTTAGCTCTTATTATTTATTCACTCCTCATCCTTTGTTCACTCTTTCTTGTCAATATTGCCTACTCTGTGGGGTTTCGTTGTCTGTCGCTTGGGACTTGAGTGCGTGTTCTCGCATGTTAATGATTCAGTGAGTTTGGAGTCTTTTCCTCCGGCTCGATGTCGCTGCCAATAATCATTGACAGGGCGTACGTGCATAAACTGTCGCATCGAATCGGCTCTTTTGGAATATGGGCGTTTCCGAAAATAGGGGACCCTAATATAGTACCCTAAATAGTAGGATCCCTATTGTAAGGTACCCGCTATTTTCGGAAACCCCCAAATGTTTCGGAGGACATCATCCAGCAGGTCAAGGTCGTCGATGGATACAGCAAGGCAGCTTGCCGGCCACAGTGTTTCCGTCCACACCTGCGGCAGATTGTAGCAGACGTTGTGTCAAATTTACATGTCACCCGTTGTGCAGCTCTTTGTCTCTGGTTTTTGTATGTGCAGAAGTTGTACATGCAAGGCATGTGCCTCGCTCTTGTGCCGTTGTGCTGGCTGGTACAGGAGAGAGCGATCGTAGACCTCCTCAACGAGGCGTGTCAGCTTAGGCTGAACTAGCTTTGAGATGATTGGTGCTGGCCTTGTGCACTCGTGTCATTCATGTCTTGAAGAAACTATACTGCTTCTACGAATATGAGGTCAAGTTACGCATACCTGCAGGTAGTGCTTGCAGGGTCTGTCGGAAACAAGACCCAGACTCACCAGATGTACAGGAGGACAAACAACGGCGCGTACGCGCTGTAAGAGTGCGAGTGGCCTCGTCAGTGCAAGACCTTGATGGCCACGACGCCTCGCAACAGGCCGGGCTCATGGACCGGTATGGCCAGGGCAAGGCCAGCTTGTCGGGGATCCGGAGTTATTACGATTGCCTGCCAAGCTCGCAGCCCCAAACCCCAGCCCCGAAAAAGCTAGCATTGCGCCCGTCGGAAGCTTTATGAAGGTCCTTTGAAGTCAAACAAACCGCTTAAGGAGCGGAGGGAGTCTTTTGGGGAAGGCCTTGGTCTTTGCCGGCACAAAGCGGGAGTGCGAGCGGCCTCCGGCTCGGGCTTGGAGAGCTCGCTCACGTGGGTGGCGAACTGAGATTGTCCGGCTCCCAGGCTCTCCAACAGCCTCTACAGAGCGGGAGTCCCGTTCGCCCGGCCAAATTTCTCAGCTCAAGTGTGGCTTTCAAACCTGCATGTCCTCGAGCATTTTCCTGCCGCTGCGGGCAGTGAAGTTGTCCAGACACGCAGCTAGCAACGACTTGCGCAGATGGCGAGGGATACCGAGATCGGGAGTGGACATAGCTTATCATAACTCACCGCATGAGGAGCTTGTGACACGAGAGCCATCGAACGAGTTGCAAAGCCTGCAAGTCTTCACTGCCAGTCCCTGACCCCACTGGCACACTGGGACTGGGTGCCAGGTGTTCCTCGATCCACGGCGACAAGGAGCTTCGTGGCGAGAATGGGTGGATCATGAGTCTTCCATGCCGCCATGTGCCGATCAATCGGCTGCAGATGGTAGAGGCGTTAATTTGAGCCACGACAGTTGCTCGTACAAAGTCGGGATGTTGGGCTTGATGCGTGGAGTAGCGGGGGACATTGAAAGTCGTGACAAGTCCGCATCCGTCATCAGTTCTCGCCAGCCATGGCCTGGCCTCTGGAAGCCTTGAACCATCCCAGACCCCCTTGAACTAGACTGGCTACCAGCATCAGAACATGCAGGATCAACGCCAGCGAGACGAAGCGCTGAACGGCTTGAAATCCGGGAAGCTGAAGGTCCTTTCGGTCATTTGGAAAAGCTGCAAGTGTTTGTTTTAAATCTCGTTCACGACGGGCAAAAGGACCTGTCTGCCTCGGCATGCGTGTAGAACCCTCCTTCGTCCTCCTTGCGTAGTCGCGGAGCTGTTCTCAGCTCAAGAATTGCTGTGTTTAGTAAATCAATAAAATTTAATCATCCTCTGGTGCAGTTTTCAAAAGATCTGGAAATGTTCAGGGCTTTCCACCAGCCGAAGGTCCTCGTGGCGACTGACGTGGCAGCGAGAGGGCTTGACATCAAGGGGGCCGTGCTCTTAGAAAAGCCCTTGATCGTTACAGTTAGCTCTGCAAGTATATCGTGAGAATGATAAGCATTCTGATTTGTCCTGCGCCTTTCAGATTGAAGAGACTGCAAACAAAAACTGAACCCATGTTTGCATAGGAGACAGGGACACGGGGTCTGGGACGGAAAGTAGAAGACCCTGAGGTTGGCCTAGTGGTCAATTATGATGCCGCAAACAACACGGAGGACTCGGGAAGACAACGTGTAGAAGTCCCGGCAGCTGGCCGCAAGCTTTGGCGTGCCTTGGCGCGATGCAGGACTATGTGCACCGGATTGGCCGAACTGGCCGTGCTGGCTGCAAGGGCTTTGCCGCCGGGCTCTGAGCTTGACGTGGTGTTTCAGTTGCTATCCCCCAAGTTGTTTTGATCGGCTGAAATCGTGATGTGCCACAGCCATGCGGCCTTGCAACCTTAAGAGCTCAGGTCACTTTCCTGGATAGAAGAGCGGACGCGGGGAAGGCGAAAGGCATTATGGAGGTGGCCGCGACCCAATACCCCCACCTGGGCCGTTACACCGCGACCCTGCCAGGTCATGCAGCGCACCAATCAGCCCGTGCCCGCCGACCTGCGAGACATGGTGCCCGGCCCAGGTCAAGCTCTTCCCCTTCGAGGAAAAAAGACTCAAACCGGAAGGTGAGCTGCAAGCATGTGGCCTTCTGAGGCTGGCTCTGCGCGAGAAGAACGCGGAGGGCGCTGGGGTCTACGCCTGAGTTTCTTGAGATCTCCGAAGATTCCGAAGTCAGCAGGGATTTGCACAGCCTTGCGGAGCTGAAGACACCCAGGATTTCAAATACAGTCTTTGGTCGAGAACCATGAAGTGAATGATGCTGTTGGGTACATGCTGCAGGGTTGTGATTCAATCTCCGTTCGAGGCGCTTCATGCACTGTCAAGCTTCATTCGCATAGCAGCATTCAGCAAACACCAGCAAATCAAGCTCGCTCGGCTAGTGGCCGGGGCTAAAGGTCTGATGCGGTTGTGGAGGATCCTGTGTCAGCCCGTGTCGCTGAGGAGGACGGGGCGGTGGCGGAGGTGGCCGTGGAGGCTCGGACGCCCCCATGTGCACCTTCATCTATCGGGACGCGATGAACAGCCCATGTTACCAAGCCGGGCATTCGCTGGGGAGGTGACAGCTGGAAAGGCGGTGGCGGTGGCGGTGGTGGTGGAGGCTGGCCCTTGCGCATACTTGTTGCAGCTTGTTGGAAATGCTTCACTCGGGAGGCGGCTGGGGCAGCTACGTCCAGAGCCCAGCACAGACTGTCCCAGACCGCTTCGAAGACAGGTGCTATCAGAGGATGGGCCATGCTCCAGCATCAAAGTTTCAAGTGACATTGCTGTTGGCAGTGAGCCGAGGGGGGCGGCAGCCGAGGGCGCAGCCGTGCTCCTGCCATGCTTGTCAAGTCTCAGTGCTTGTTTACAGTGAAAACTGACCAACCTGTAATATTCACTAGACATTCGGGGGCATGTCGACATCATATTCCCGCTGCCCATGTGCGTATTGCAAACAGGTGCAAACAGACACGAACGCAAACGGTCACACCCACACAAACACTGACATCCGTTGTGTTTTGGCCATGCTTGTGCTTCCGCCTGCAGTGCATACACAGACTGTTCGTGCAAGCAGGCAGGTGATGCAAGGCCAGCAAACGAATCAAGCACAAGAAACACGGGACGAGAAAAGATGCACCCGCAGACTTGACGCCACATCTTCTTGCAGAAATCAAGAACTGCCGATGTGTGTCGCTGCCCACAGGAAGCCCGAGGCGGTGGTGAGCGGCCAGTTTTGCCGTGCCGGAGGTGTCAGGTGAGCTTCACGTTGATGCTTCTGGTGTTCTTCAGCCGGTCTTCTAGTTTCGGACATGCTTAATCTCAGGGCTGATGGCCTCACAATGTGGTTTGCATCGCAACTTCGACGAACTTGGGCTGCTCCCCTCGCGGTGCACTGATCTCGAGATTTTGGTTCTTGTCTCATGTGGCCGCAGATTGCAGACTCTCAAACCTACCGGCCCAGCACGCCCGAGATTGGAAATGCGGAGCTGCAACCTGGAGCCTATCTTTCCAGGCACAAAAAATGTGCTGCCTTAGACCCTTTCTGGTGAGCAGCGCCCTAGCCCGAAGCCTCACCTTCCACACCTTCAGCCCCAATCCCCGCAGCTGCCCTGCGGCCCTTCCCTGGTGCTCCGGGATGACGGCGTATGGCCGAATTGCTCGCCGCCGCATCCTGGCCAGACCCCCTCCCAAGGAAGCGTGCCGAACATGCGCGGGGCAAGAAGCTTTGCACCGCAGGGCTACAGGGCTACAGGGGATAAGGGGGCTGTGTCTGAGATTGCCGGGCACGGACTTTCAAGACCAGGTCAGGTTGTTGACGGCAAGGTTTTGGCGACAAGTCGCGTGCAGAGGGCCACTAGGTCGCCAGGTCGCCTCCTGGCGCACCTTGCCGCGAAACAGCTTTGGAAAGCTGTGAAGCCGTGTTGGGGGCTGTCGTAGGCTTTCTAGCAGGTCTCGATTCACGATGTGGTGTGGGCTTTGTCTCCGATTCCCAGTCACTGAAAGATACTGGGAGGATCAAACACATCGTACGTCGTAGAGTAGTGGAGTCGCAGGTCGTCATTGTCCATGCCATTGCATTGGCTCAACAGCGCATTTTTGTCGAAGTTTCACTTCGCAGGGCCAGATTTTGAGGCGCATGCCCCTGCTTGCAAGTCAGCTTCAGTGTATGCAGCGCATGACCTGGATCTGCCATGAAAGTCGCCCTCCAGGCTCTTCCCAAAAGCGGCTGCAGGCCATGGCTGCGCCGAGAATGCAGCCTGCCTGATCATGGCTGACTGGAAGCCGAAGTGCAGCGTTCTTTGCTTCTTCTTGCTCCTCTGACCCAGGTTGAGGCCGCTTCGCGGCAGCTCGGCCGCAAACGAGCCTCCTTCCATGCCATCGCAGTGTTGTCGCATCATCTTGAGAAGCCTTCAACATGTTCAGAAGCCATGTGTGCGTCGAAGAGCGTCGTGACGTGCCGCGTCACTGTGGGCACTTTTCTGCCTCGTGACTTCGAGAGACGGAAGCAAACTCCTGGAAAGGCACGGCGATCCTCCTCCTCACCATCGCCTTAAGCGTTTTGCTTGGCGAGCAAAGCTTCGCCGTGCCGCCGACCACGCAAACGCGGACAACGGCCGGCATCGAGGCTGTGCACGATTCGTGACAGAATGGAGCGCAGGAGCCTGGAGTCTTCCCGAAAATTTGCATCCTCAAGAATCTCAACAAAGCCGCTTTCCACCTGCCCATGAGGGCGTCGCGGAGCCTCTTCCGACCTCCTCGTCGCTGGGCATCCATAGAGAGGGCTTTCAATGGCTTTTTACCCACCATTAATTACTACGAGGGGCAATGTCGAAATGCGTGTCCTCCCATGCTTCCATTCATTGCATCCAGCTGAGGTTCGGAAACTTTGCCGGCAGAAGCTTCAAGTCTTCTCGACCGCAGGCCTGGAGTGAATGAGGCAGACATGACGGCCTGTCCTCCGGCAAAAGCCTCCACCCACAGATGCTTTCTCATCAAGGCAAGATGCACTCACTCACTCACTCACTCACTCACTCACTCACTCACGCACTCACTCACTCACTCACTCACTCACTCACTCACTCACTCACTCACTCTCTCTCTCTCTCTCTCTCTCTCTCTCTCTCGCTCCTACCATGATATAGGACAGAATAGCCGTCACTTTGCTGTG